TTGATCACCAAAACTAAAATTGGAAATATTCCACACCAGGCCATCACTTCGCTCTTCTCAATTATTTCTCATTTCACATCATAAAAAACTGAAGATCATACCCAAATAATAATGAAGGATTGATGTTTTTTTGCTAGCCAAACTTAAATTTATTGACGAAAAATATTTAATTAAATTGTTTGAAGTGGCAAATCATTTTATTGAAAATAATTATTTTAAAAACCTAATATGAATATAACTAATAAAAATTAATACGTACAAAAACTTATTACTCCGTATATTTATGAGTGTAAGTGAGTATAACACCCTATTTTTTTTATTTTTTATTTCTTTTACTATATAAAAAAATCCTTTTACTATTTTACACGTATAGCCATACAATGCTTTTTAAATAGTTTTGTATTTTCGTGACCATATACTACAAATAAAGTAAAATTTTTTGGAATGGGGTCTCTAGAGTGTTTGATTTTATACCCTAATTTGACTACACTTTGATCGTATTTAAGTTTTTTTTTTAATTAATTTTTTTTTTATTTTTATTTTTATTTTTATTTTTATGTGGGGTTGTTGATTTGTGTTTATATTTATTTTTTGAAAATCTAATTTGTTTTGATGTAGAATCAAGATATTTCAATATATAGGCAATCAGATTATAAATCAAATAGATAGTATGTATGCTCTTTTTTAGTCCAACCTGATATATAGGGTCTAATTTTAATAAAAATAAGTATAGAGTGATTTCTATTATACACGATCGAGTCAACTCATCATGAGTGATGTAGTGCACATTCACTTATAATACGGAGTATTTTTTTTTGACAGAACACTTATAATATTGATCTAATGCCATTGCTTTTATGTATTATTTTATATTTTGTTCTTATAAAAATAAAGCAAGTATAGGGTGCATTTAGATCTCGTAATAAGTTGCTAGCGGAAGGTGGAAAGAACATATAGTCAGTTGCATGTTGAATACATGCAAGACTTATTATGAGTCTTATGGAATGTATGTGTGAATGTGTGTGCAATGGTAGTGTGTATACTTGATCTAAAAGGCAGAAGTGCAGAACTAATGAGCATTTCGAAAACTATTTAATGATTACAAATGAATGTTAGTACTACTCAATTGTAAGTATTTGCATAAGATTCATAACAGTATATTTTTGTTACCAATGCATGTTTGTGTTGCATGAAATAAACTCACTTCTGATCTTTTTCACATTTCATGGAGAAATTTTTATAAGAAAAAAATAAATAAATAATGATTCACATCACAAAATTTAATTGAAAATATAGGCAATGTGTTAGTTGCTTAGTTATGGCTTTGTGGGTGGTCAAAGGCCACTTACTTCCGATCTAGTTCTCCATATCCTAGCACAAGTTAATTCTTACACTTCAATTTGTTAAATTCTTAGAAGTAACTTTCGAAATTAAAATCAATTTTCTATATTTTTGCTAGCTTAATAATAACTCTAAGAATTATGAAATTATGCGTTTTACATGTTTTCTTTGGTCGGCCAAATAAAACACTAAGATTGAAGCATTTGCAAGAATGAAGCACAATTACTTGTAATTCATACCTATGCAAACACAATCTTTTTAATTTCCTAAACTTGTATTGTAGGACATCTCGTATCAATGGGGGAGTGTGTGGGTAATAATTGAAAAAATTGAAAGGTGCAGTTCTATATATGTATCTGTCTTCAACTTGAAACTGAGTAAATAAAATGGCTTGATGAATACTGTTTTTATTATAAAGTAATTTTTGGTTATGAAGTACAGTAGTTCTCAGGGTAGAAGTTAAAAAATAATAATAATAAAACCTTTATCCAAATACCTTTATAATACTTTTATAACTTTGGTATATTCCTATATAATAAAACGGTGTTAGTTTTTGCCACTTCTAATTATTTCGTATTTCTCCTCATGAGGAGTGCTTCCTAATGTTTAATTTTTCTTATCTTTTTTAAAAAATAAAAAAAAATAAACTTTGTATATTTCTATATAATACTTTTTTTTTGGAGGAAATATTCTTACATTATATTAATATAAAATAATATGGTTCAATCAAGACTAATAAATATTCTAAACTTAGAATGATATGTCATCATATTTTTTATATTAAAAATCAAACTATTACAGTTTTTTTTTTTTTTTTGGTTGGTAAGGAGAAGGGTCCTACCGGACCAAAACCTCTCACATGTTCTCCCAGTCCGGGTTAGCGGGCAAGGCGCTTTAGGAGTCAGGGGGAAGGGTAAGGGAATTCCCACCTCAAACTGCCTCTAGTGGGGTTTGATCTCACAACCTCATGCAAACCTTACCACTAGACCAAGCTATGCTTGGTAATCAAACTATTACATTTTTTTTTTAAGAATCAAACTATTATGGATAGGCTGTGTTTAGTTTACCTAATTCAAGGACCTTCTTACTTTTCTAGATCATATCCGGGAAAAAAAAAGTTCTACTCATATCAAATTAGAAAAAATAAGTTTAAATCATACTTTATCGTTTAACGTGCGATTTATATAACTAGATAATTGATAGGGACCAATTTAACCAAAAGGTTAAGTTAATGGTTGAAGCACAAGATCTGCTCATGCCCTTCTCACATGATAGCCCGTTGAACTTGAAGTGTTGATGGAACATTGTCCCCATCATACCCAATGCTTAATATACCACTTTGAAAGGAAATGTAGGAGACCAATTCAATCAAAAACTTAAATTGATAGTTAAAGTCTAGGATTAGTTTATACACTTTATCAATAACTTTAATTCCTTGATAAAAAAAAATTAAAATGATAAATTTGTAAAATACACAGTTATACGAATCTAATAAGACCATATTTTATATTGTAGATTAGCATACATATAAGGTCAATCAAATAATATACGTTGAGATTAGATTGTATAAGAAAAATAAGGTGAGGTTTTATTCTTTTTATCTTATTCAAATAACGTTTAGTAAAATTAATTATAGTCCAATAAAAATAAGTTTATTTTAGCAAAAATAAGTCCAATTTAGTAAAATAAAGGTTTATCAGTAAAAATTTATAATTTTAAAAAGCAAATATTATCGAGAATCAGTAAATTAACAAAAGGAAAAAGATGAGTATAGACTTTTTATAAGACAAAACAAAAATGGACCAAAAATACGAAGTTGGGCTAACAAGTTATTGCACGAGTAGGTAAAGCGAAGGGTTAAAACAAACATGGTTGCAAAAACTTAACCCTTACTACACTTCTTCTTCTTCTTCTAAAGTCTAAACTCTCTCTTTCACTTTCTCATATTCTCTCTCCTTTGACAACACCACTTAACTCTCTGACTCAGACATACTCCGCTGGTCCCCACTCTTACTACCGTGAATACAGCTGCCTTTTAGTTTTTGAGAGAGAAACTAAATATATTTTCAATGTTTCAAAATAATAATAATAATAATAATAAATAAATAAATATTTTCAACCCATTTCCCTAACATGGGTCGGGTCCCATTTTACCAGGGTTTTTATGAAATAACATTTATTAAATTACTGTTTTATCCCTTTTTTTTTTACTACCACCGACGCCTCCTCCTTCTTCCGGTAGGGTATAAGTGGCCCCCACCACTTTCCTCCACCAACCTCCGCATTTAGGTCCCACTCTACAAATAAAAATTTAATTTAACGCATATAATTCTTTTTATTTCATTTTTCCCATTTACCAACAAACTACTAACTCACTAATATTTTACGTAGTATTTGGTCTTCCACGGTCAATATGTTACTTTTTTTTTTTTTTTTTTGTTAATAATTTTTTTCAATTTCCCTTGATTTATTTTTCTTTTTCGTAAATTTAGATTATGCTTTGGTATTACTTTGTATTGTAACTTCTTCTAGAGATTTTTATATGTTGAATTAATAATTATGTGTATATATACTATAACTGTTAAATAAGTTGGTTGAATCAGATTTGGGTCAGTCAATCTAAATTTTTAAATTTGACTTTTTTACAGAGTACCAATTAATAATGGTATTTCAAATTCGTGGTTAACTTTTTCAAGTTTAGTCTAAGAATTGTCAATTTAAATTATCAAGTTGAGAGCATTAGAATAATTTCATTATTGTATGACCTCTCAAGTTTAGGTAATTCCAGCTTACATAATGAGTCTGAAATGTATTATCAATGTTGTCATAATCTTTTAAGATCTCAATTCCTACCAGATCAAGTAAGTTTTTTACCAACCTAAGAATCATATATCAAAATGTGACTTTTAAAAAAAAACTCACATATCTCAAATTCTTAATTTTTTTTTACAATTATTATATAACATCTCAAATTTAGGTAATTCCAGATTTCCAGCTTACATAACGAGTCAGAAATATATTATTAATATTATCATAATCATTCATGAGCTTTTAACTAGCCTAATAATTAATCTCAAAATTTAATTATTAAACAAAAAAAAAAATCAAACTCACATGTTTCAACCTTTTACTTTTTTTTACCAAGAAATTCATTTCACCAACATTCAATTTATTCACATCACACAACAAAAAAAAAAAAACAATAATATTTATAGTAGTTGAAAGTGGAATATAATGATTGATAAGTGAGTATAAAAATAAACCCAATAATAATATTCAATAATCAAACATAGCGATAGACAGTGTTAGATCTTACACTAGCCCACTTCACTTTCCTTTTACTTTCTCTCTCTAAAAAAATAATTAATTTTAATTTTTTGCACATGGAATTGAAAGAAGAAAAACAACCAAAACCCAACTGTCTGTCGGTCGCTCTTTCTCTCTGTAACCTGTGTCCCTTCTGGCTTACGCGTTGAATTATCAAACCCTTTTCTTCTTCTTACATTTTTTTTCACCTTAATTCACTTTCTCTCTCTAAAACCCCATTAATCCTCCTTTCTTTCCTTAATTTTCCTTCTTTTTTATTTTACAGGTGGGTTAAACTAAATTAATTAAAATAAAAAACACCCACTTTTTTTTTTTTTTTTTTTAATTTGTTAGGTATAGTTATTTATTTTTTTTGTTGATATTATATTGTGGGCATTTCTTGTTTTTCTGTATTATTTCTCCATCTCACATCTTTCACTCACTTTCTCTCTCCCCACTTTCTCTCTCTACACTCTTCTCCTCTTCTCTTCTTCTTCCCTTACTTTAATGTGGAGTTGTTGCTGTGTTGTTGCTTGTGAATAATTATTGAGAGAAAAAAGAAAGAGTGAGAAGAAGAGTAGTGTTGTGTTGTTTTGTTTGTGTGGTCGGTACACAAACGAAGAACAACACCACCAAAAACTAACCCACAAACCGAATCTCGTATATAGTTTCACGTATTTTGTTAATTCGTGTCGTTATTTTTGATGGGGTTCGATTTCTGAAGAAGTAAATCTGGGTTTTCAATATTCTGACCCCCTGATTGATTCATTTCTCGGATTTTCGGGGGTCTGAAACTTGAAATGGCTACCAATGGACGGCTGGTGGCTGGTTCTCACAATCGGAACGAGTTCGTTCTTATCAATGCTGATGATATTGGCAGAGTAAGTGGTTTTCACAAATCCGATTTGATTTAGAATAATGGGTGTAGCTTGTAATAATGGAATAAGGTTTGTTTATATTTAATTCGGTTGCATTTGAGGTTAATTGAGCTGATTCTAGTTCATGACTGTAACTTTTGAGTGGTAATTTTGTGGGTTAGGTTAATTGAACACTATTACAAGCTGTTTGGTTGTTTTTTTTTCCTGAATTTTTTGCCATTTAGCTGGTAGATTTGTTACTTTTTTGATAAAATGTATTGGGTATTGAGCTTGTAACAATTTTTGACCCAGAAATTGTGGGAAATTTAGCTTGGTTTTTGCTGGATTTTGGTGGGTACTTAGATCTATGGGTTAATTTTTGTTTGATTCAATTTTGGTCTGATTGTGTAAAAAACATGATTACAGGTGACTTCTGTGAAAGAATTGAGTGGGCAACTTTGTCAGATTTGTGGAGATGAGATAGAATGTGATGGAAATAGTGAACCATTTGTTGCTTGCAATGAGTGTGCTTTTCCAGTGTGTAGAGCTTGCTACGAGTATGAGCGAGGCGAAGGGAATCAATCTTGTCCTCAATGCAAAACCCGCTACAAGCGAATCAAAGGTAACTAATTTCGCGTTTTGTTGCTGTTGTGATTCGTAATTCAGTTCATTGGATTCGATTTCGTGTTGACTTGAATGTCGGTTGTTAGATGTGCTGATGGAATTGTAAATTTTGTAATAGGGAGTGCAAGAGTTGAGGGTGATGAAGATGAGGATGACCTTGATGATATTGAAAATGAACTTAGATACGTGCACAAGGACAACGACCCTCAGCACATTGCTGAAGCGATTTTTTCTTCCCGGCTTAATGTTGGCCGGGCTCCATCCAATGCTTCCGGGCTTTCAACACCGGCGGAGTTGGATCCTGCTGCTCATTCTAATGAACAGCTTCTCTTAACTTTCGGGCAAGAGGTATAATTGATCTTACAATTCTTAATTTTCTTGCAATTAGATATGATCTGTGTGTAATTTAAGTTCAATTGTTATCAGTGTTTACTGTGATTTAACTTTCTGTTTCTCTTTTGTAATGAAGGATCCTGGGATTTCGCCGGACAGGCATGCTTTAATTGTCCCACCGTTTATGAGCCGTGGGAAGAAGGTCCATCCTGTACCATTTTCTGATTCTGCAATGTCCTGTAAGTTCCTTTGGGTTTTTGAATTTTGTGCATAATGTATAATTGAATCAAAATTTATGGAATAATTTGCTGATCATGCTTTTTTCCGATGAACTTCAGTGCCGCCTAGACCAATGGACCCCAAGAAAGATCTAGCTGTTTATGGATATGGAAGTGTTGCTTGGAAAGATAGGATGGAAGAGTGGAAAAGAAGGCAGAATGACAAGCTTCAAATGGTTAAGCATCAAGGAGAGGATGGAAGCTATGATGGAGGGGAACCTGAGGACCCCGATTTGCCTAAGTAGGTTTCGCCGCTTGATTTGAAACTTTAGTGGATTTAAGAAAGGGATTTTGAAGTTGATCTGGAATTCAAAGCTTTTGAATTATGGCATTAACTGTCGGAAACTGCTTTAGTGTTTGCTTTGAACAATTACTAGTGTCTTTTCCTAATTTCCATGTAGTTTGCTGCATGCAGCTAGCTATAGGTCATCATATGCTTGCTTCCATTACTAATTTGAAAGAGCTATTGTTTTTGGTGAAAATATACATAAACGGTCATAAAGGCGTCATTAGTTAATTAATATAATGCTTATGTGTTAGAAACAGTGAAAGGCTGAAGAGCACTTTTTAGTGAGTTAGAAAATTCAGAACCTAACAGATCTAGGGTGTTAACATCAATCGTATTCAGCAATGTGGGAGTGAACTCACTTTTTTTCCCTTTTGCAACCGAATTGAATTTGAATTTTTGCAAATCAAAACAATATGATCAGATTTTTTTAATGCTTTTTGTGTGTGAAATAATCACCAATGATGGATGATTTTGAGTCCATTGCCCAAATTATTATTAAGTGTTTGTTGACTAGTATGTCTTTGAGATGTACTTTTTTCCAGTTGCCGTTTTTTGTTCTAGTGGGATTTACGTGTGTAATTTGACCTCCTTCATTCATATTTATAGCATTGCCTGACCCAATTAGACATGCAAGATGTGCTGCTAGCTTATTATACAATGGAAGTTGGAAAGTGCATTATGCATGCATATGCAGATATTTCACATTAGCTCATGGCCTTTACAAGTTCTAACAATGGTCTTCTTTGTTTCTGTTTCTGAAGGATGGATGAAGGAAGGCAGCCACTGTCGAGAAAACTACCAATTTCATCAAGCAGTATCAATCCCTACAGGATAGTTATTGTTCTTCGTATGGTTGTTCTTGGGCTCTTCTTTCACTATAGAATTCTGCACCCTGTGCATGATGCCTTTGCCCTGTGGCTGTTGTCAGTCATTTGTGAGATTTGGTTTGCTGTGTCGTGGATTTTGGATCAGTTTCCGAAATGGCAGCCCATTGAACGAGAAACTTATCTTGACAGGCTTTCACTAAGGTATTTCTCTTTCCTCTATCCCGTCATTTCTCCTATTATGCTTCCAATTTTGTACTGAACTAAAAAATGAAATATTAAATCAGGTATGAGAAGGAAGGCAAACCATCTGAGCTAGCTCCAGTTGATATATTTGTGTCAACTGTCGACCCTTTGAAGGAACCTCCACTGATCACAGCAAACACTGTTCTTTCTATCCTTGCTGCCGATTACCCAGTGGACAAGGTTTCTTGCTATGTCTCTGATGATGGTGCAGCCATGCTTACCTTTGAAGCCCTTTCTGAGACCTCTGAGTTTGCAAGAAAATGGGTCCCATTTTGCAAGAAGTATCAAATTGAACCTCGTGCTCCTGAATGGTATTTCTCTCAGAAGGTTGATTACCTGAAAGATAAAGTGCATCCTGCCTTTGTCAGGGAACGTCGTGCCATGAAGGTTGGTAGATTGTGGCATAGCATGCTTTTTTCATGAGTGCATTGCCATCTATTCTTATTTGTTTTCATGAGTGCATTGCCATCTATTCTTATTTGTCAGTATCTCATGAAGTTTATTTTGTGTGCTGATTTTTTTTTTCAGAGAGACTATGAAGAGTTCAAAATCCGGATAAATGGATTGGTTTCCATGGCAGTGAAGGTTCCCGAAGAGGGTTGGACCATGCAAGATGGAACCCCATGGCCTGGAAACAACGTTAGGGATCATCCTGGAATGATACAGGTAATGGGACGTGGTTGCTTGACGTGTTGCTCTTTTTTTACCTTTTGTTTTCCACTGTTTGAGCTCCCTTCCTCATTCTTGACATATCTTTAATGTCTAACAGGTGTTCCTTGGCCAAAATGGTGTCCGTGACTTGGATGGAAACGAGCTGCCTAAACTTGTTTATGTTTCTCGTGAGAAGAGGCCTGGATTTGATCATCATAAAAAAGCTGGTGCTATGAACTCTTTGGTGAGTCTCTCTCTCTCTCTCTGAAATTGTTTTCGCCCTGAAATTAGATTATGTAATTTACCTATATTTCTACTGTCTATTACAGATAAGAGTTTCAGCAGTTCTGTCAAATGCACCTTACCTACTTAATGTCGATTGTGATCACTACATCAACAACAGTAAGGCTCTCCGTGAAGCCATGTGCTTCTTGATGGATCCCATATCAGGGAAGAAAATATGTTATGTCCAGTTTCCTCAGAGGTTTGATGGCATTGATAGACACGATCGATACTCCAATCGTAATGTTGTCTTCTTTGATGTAAGTAACACCCTTACCTGATACCCTCGCCTTAAAAAAAATTGTTGCCAATTATGATTTGTGTTTAAAAGCAAATGATTACTGATCCCTTTTTCCAATCTCAACAGATCAACATGAAAGGTTTGGATGGTATTCAAGGACCAATTTACGTTGGAACAGGTTGTGTTTTCAGAAGGCAAGCACTTTATGGGTATGATGCCCCAAAACAAAAGAAGGCCCCAGGCAAGACCTGTAATTGTTGGCCAAAATGGTGCTTCTGCTGCTGCTGCTTTGGATCCCGAAAGAAGAACAGAAAATCAAAGAACAAGGGTAATGACAAGCAAAAGGACACTAAAAAGAAGTCCAAGAACAAGGATTCATCCACACAAATACACGCTCTTGAAAACATTGAGGAGGGAATTGAAGGTATGCAAACATTAACACTACCTCTATTTTGTATGTTATTCATTCTATGCATTTCTAAATTTGTTTCTGTTCAAAATGCGAACTTCATTTTGAATTTTTTTTAGAATTTTCAATGAAAATTGATTGAAGTGATGCTATTTTTATTCATTTCTTTTTGCTTAGTTTAGGATGAAGTATTCCTAAGCTTAAGCAATTAACTCTGATAAAATCTTCCGATACTTGGCAGTTACTTTTTTTTTTTTTTCCTTTCAATCTACTGAGATCTCACTCTTCTGAGTCTGACTATGCATTTGCAGGAATTGATAATGAGAAGTCTGCTCTTATGCCCCAAGTAAAATTCGAGAAGAAATTTGGTCAGTCACCAGTCTTTATAGCTTCAACACTCATGGAGGATGGTGGAATGCCTCACGGTGTAAGTGAAGCATCACTATTGAAGGAAGCTATTCATGTCATCAGCTGTGGGTACGAGGATAAAACTGAATGGGGAAAAGAGGTATAGCTGTATTTTCAATTTCTATTTCTCAGAATATGTTTGCATAAGCTCATCTCTGACCACGTTTTCTTGAATTTAGGTTGGTTGGATCTATGGTTCAGTTACAGAAGATATCTTGACTGGATTTAAAATGCATTGCCATGGCTGGAGGTCAGTTTACTGCATGCCTAAAAGACCTGCATTCAAAGGGTCTGCTCCCATTAATCTTTCTGATCGTCTCCATCAAGTTCTTCGGTGGGCTTTGGGATCCGTTGAGATTTTGTTGAGTAGACATTGCCCCATTTGGTATGGTTATAACAGTGGTCTAAAACCATTGGAGCGATTTTCTTATATTGCTTCTGTTGTGTACCCATTGACATCAATCCCACTGCTTGTCTACTGTACTCTTCCTGCTGTCTGTCTTCTCACCGGAAAGTTTATTGTTCCTGAGGTAATTTCCATGCTTGCTTTGGTTCGAGTAATTTTTATTGTGTCTCAAAAGACTGGCATACCTCGTTACTTTGTGTTGGATGTTTGATTTTGCTAGTCTAATGTTTGATTGTTATGTTGTGATCTACAGATCAGCAGTTACGCCAGTATTTTGTTTATGGGGCTCTTTATTTCCATTGCGGTAACAAGTGTCCTCGAAATGCAATGGGGACACGTACAAATCGACGACTGGTGGAGGAATGAACAGTTTTGGGTTATTGGAGGTGTATCTTCCCATCTATTTGCCCTCTTCCAAGGTCTCCTAAAGGTTCTTGCTGGTGTGAACACCAACTTTACTGTCACGTCAAAAGCAGCAGACGATGGAGAATTTTCCGACCTTTACTTGTTCAAGTGGACTTCCCTCTTGATCCCACCTATGACGTTGCTCATCATTAACATCATCGGAGTTATAGTCGGGATTTCAGATGCCATTAACAACGGGTACGAGTCATGGGGTCCCCTATTCGGTAGGCTCTTCTTCGCCATGTGGGTGATCATGCATCTTTACCCCTTCCTCAAGGGTATGATGGGAAAACAAGACCGTCTCCCCACCATTATCATCGTCTGGTCCATTCTGCTCGCGTCCATTTTCTCCCTACTGTGGGTCAGAATAAACCCGTTCACGGCCAAAGGCGGTATTGTGCTCGAAGTCTGTGGGTTGGATTGTGATTAGTACAACAAACATTTTTGATGGGTTTATGAAGAATTTTGTGTAGAAATCGAAACCAAGGTATTTAATCCGTGAAATTTATCGCAGAAACGCAAGAGCTACTACAACTACGTTGAGGGCTCGAACGCGATCATCGAATCGAAGGATAAAAATTATCACAGTTGGGTTTGTGTTGTGTAGATAAAGTTGGCAGCTGACACATTGAAAAAAAATATTGTTGTCAGGAAAAAAATGTTTATTCATTCTTTTGATACACGTCGTTAATTGTGCGTCAGAGTTAGGGGATTATGGAATTCAGGGCATTTCTGTAATCCCCATGAACATAAAGGAGTTGTTTTTTTTTTTTTAAATTTTAATTTTTTTTAAGTTGCTATTCATAATTTATAAGGGGCCCCCCTTAGTAATAAGGGACTTCAAATGTTGTCACTCTGTAGTTTTGTGGTTCCTTAAGGAACAATTTTGTTGGTTCTTTTAGACTGTGAAGTTGAAAAGCATATTACTCTTATTCTTATTTTTGGATTAGTATACAATAAAGTGGTTCTAGTGTTCTTACTTAATGTCTAAGCAATATTACTACTGCTATATTTCTTGTCTCTTTAATCGATACTCCTTCTGTTCCTTAAAGGTTTGATTGGTTTTCAGTTGTTAATGAACCTAGCATACAGTGAAAAATACAATGGATTGTACATTTTATAGTCCTTTTCTTTCTTATTCTATATGTATTTTAGGTGTTTCCAATATTATAAAATGGAGTTATTAAGTAATCCTAGGATTGTGCTTTTTTGAGTCCTTTTCTATCTTCTTCTACGTCTTACTCAGTTACTCCCAAAGCTCCCAATTACAGCAACAGTTTCCGTACAATCCCAAAAAGCGGTCATTTCTGAAAATAATAAAATATCACGCTCCCTCTGTTCAGAATTATACATTAATGGTATTTAAAACGAGAAATGTGACTATTATATTCAGACGGAGGGAGTATCCCTGACGAAGTGATGCGAAGCTAGGCAAAGAAATCATGTAATGGTCCAGCCTCTATAATCAAGTCTACTGTAAGCAAGCAAGAGTTGTACACTTCTACGTAACATGTAAGATGTTTCAATGCAAATACATTAAACAAAAACATGTGTTGCAACTGTAGACTATGCACTATGGTATAACTGATGATGGTTAATCCCGAAAATTGTAGCTATAAATGTTATTCAATATTTTTGCTCAATTCTATAAACACAATCTTGGTACTATATTTAATTTCTCCTATTTATCCCCTCTTCCAATTATTAACCAACAATCTCAACTAATATTTTACTCGTTTATCTCGACTATAACATGCATTGATGTATACACAAATGTTTCTAAATAAGGACCTTCAATCTTTATACGGAGTATTAATTGTCTTTTTGGTATTGTCTCTTGTTTAATCAAGAAATGGCATATTTAGTGAATCAATTCATATATTATATCATTTTAGGAGCTATGAATCTGTTTCAACGTATATTAAAATAGTAATTTATGTTAACTTTAGTTGTTTCACTTCGACTTGCATTTTTAGTAGTACATAAATTTGACTATTGTTGTTTTATATTTATCTCTAAATAGTAAATATATACATCGAGATTCGAGACAAACCCGATAGTATATTTTAATTTTTTAGTTAAATTATGGTATAAGTGAAATATGTGATTAGTGTCAAAAGTCAAAATTATACGACTTAACCCAAGGGAGTATATGGACAGAATCGATTACTTGATGCAATTTGGCGTGGCAACTACTGCTTTAAAACCATTCTTTACCAATTTAAGACATTGTCCAACTCTAGTGTATAAAGTCAGCATTGAAGGACATATTGTTTTCTCAACCACCAAGAAAATGGTATCAATTTTTATGAATTCAATGAATTAAGATATGGTTAGTAATCTGTTCTCAAAGGACAGATGGACAAGATATCAGATATTCAGCTTAACTTGCTGTGTTCTATGTACTGAACATACATTTTAAAATTTAATTTTTTGCTATAGCGATTAATGCTAAGTGATTGATTAGTCATGCATTTAATTATTCAAAATGATGAATCTTCCTAACCAGAAATATAATCAACTGTCTAAGTACCAATTATCATATGTTAATAGTATGCTTTGACGCAAAAATCACACACATTTAATTAAGAAAATAACTGAAGTCACAAGTTCAAATTTGAAATTTGTTTATCTACAAATTTGCAAACAATAATTACAACCCAGAAACCACTATTCAGCAACAAGTTATAACGTAAAATGATATGACCAGTATGTTCTTCATCCCATTCCAAACGATTACAAAGCATAAATTGCATTCACGAGTAATGCTTCGTCAAATGACTAACTAAATAACTTCAATTTACAGACTAGTTATATGCATGAGAGATGCAAAAGTACTATCCAAACAGGTGTATATGTTAACTTGCTAAGTTACCATCCTCCACATGCCACACTCTAAAAACCTTGATAGCATGCAGGAAATCTGAACCTACTTGCTGACGTCTCCCAAGACCTTCCTTCGAGGTTTTACAGCCGTTGCACCAACCATTTGAAGCCTTTTGGGAGCTGCTGCATTCTCCTTCATATCATGCACGAAAGGGGGCGGCTTTTTGGGAGTTCCATGTATCAGTATGCTTCGGGTGTTCTTTCTCCTGATCATAGAACTCTCGTTTTCCTGGACATTTATGCAATTCTGCTCATCACCAACTTGATCAGCACTGTCACCCCTTTCTTCTCTCTCGTTAACTTCCTGAAGTTTCTGTTCACCAGGATCACTGTCAGCTCCAACAGCAGGCTGATAATTTTCTACATTTGCAGCCTCGTACTCTTTCACAGAGAATGTGACATCCGAAACTTCTGTCTGCAGCTTGCTGGCCTCTTCTTTTTCTATCTCATCCCAGAACATATCAATTTCTGTATCGGTGAACACAAATGATTCATTTCTGGATTTCATACCTTCAGTTTCTGCATCATACAAAAGAACGAATTCAAATAAGTAAATAAATGTATCCCACATTGGTATAATGCCTCTGCGTAAATTATGAGTGGTTGAGAGTCTTCGGATTTTTTTTAGAAATGTGACTCATGATTGCGAGTAATTTACATCTTTTTAATGAATTAGTTTCGGAGGCTGATCTTACCTTCTGAATTTGGCTCAGAATTCCCGCTGCCGTACCCCTCATCATTTTCTTGATTGAGCAGTGTAAAAGTGCTCAGAACTTCCTGTGCCATCTCATGTACATTATAAATATTGACAAACCTTTGGTTGCTGGTGCTTTCAAGGACTTCATGCCTAGCAATCAGAGATGCTAAATTTGTTGTGTTAATCAATGTTGGTATAAGAGAACTTATGTTAGCCTCTCTATCCACTGAGCAACCTGTTTCAATGTGACAAACAGTAGACAGAAATTAGAGAAAATTACACCAAAATAATTATAGATGAGAATTTATATCATCCATATATTACGTTCATATTACGTTCATAAGTTGGCATATTGGTATCACATGACTAAAATGATATTTACAAGGGACTAACCTCTATCATCTAGAGCATCTCTAACTTCTGAAAATTTTGCAGAATCCAGTTCTTGAGCAGCATCATTGTAAGCTGCAATAAAAATCAAAATCAGAACGACAAAGTGTAAATTTTAAGTCTAGGCATTTTCTTAGTCTGCGGTTTAAAAAAGTTGGGGAAAGGGGAATCTCTGAGGCTTTTGAGGTCACCTGGACTAATATTTTCTCTATGGACATTGTGCTCTTGATCAGAATTTGTCACATAGATGCCACAAGGCGAGCTTTCAGAATTGCCTGACACTTCCAGTACTACATGATCCATCTCATTCATGCATGCCTCTTTTGGCTCTTTATGTGTGGGATCCATATCCACATGCTCTTGATTAATAATTTCTTGTCCAAACAAGCAATTTCCTGCACAAAAAATACACCAATTATCCTCAAGCCTGCAAGAGAATACATTTTAATTGGTAGTACTCCAATTTGATTATCTCATCCCCCCCCCCCCCCCTCTTCCCCCCCTTAAGCCTTTTGAAAGTTACTCATATACAGAACTAATCCAAATAAAATTGGCTACTGAAAGTGAAGTACTGGTCTAACCTTGCAACTCCCTTTCTGTTGTACTAGCATACTCAACCAGATCTTTGCCAGCTGTGCTTTCTAGCCCATCATGCATCTCAGTAGTTGAAACTAGTGATGACATGTAAGTAGGTGTTGCCAATTTGGACGACAAGACATCTGAATCCTCTGCATCGGGCTCTGCTTTGTCGCTTGAATTTACTGTATTATGTCAAAGGCGTACATGAGAAAAAAAGACAAGGAGCTGAAAGATCATATTTATCGAGAGAAGCTGTATGCAACTGACCTGTATTATCTTGATCGTCTTCAAAAAGCATGAGTTCACCTGAATGCAATTCTTCGATATCATTAACACAAGCTGCAATAAGAACAACAATTATTGAAAGAAAATGCAGAGTATTCAACACTGCTCAAAAGTTCAGTATATAAGATTGTTAGTTTGCCATGTGCCATATCATTCTATAAAATGACTTAGAGCAAAAGAAGCAGATGCTTTTAAAGACTGACCATTTTGAAGAGAGTTGTTGCATTTGATCTGTGAAGATTGCAAAGAATCCAATGCAGTTTCGCTTGCTGCCGCATAAGCATCAGAAAAATGACATGTACTCTCTTTGTTCAGAGGAGTGCAAGATACCGTTATGCTTCCTGCATCATTGTCCAACACTGAAGCTGTATGTCTCAGTGAAAAAGTCTCAGACTTTCTCTTCGTGCTACCAACTTTTTCAGACATTTCAAGATAGCCACTACAACTGCCAGCATCCTCCTCATTCCCAACATTGTGTACTTGGTTGAAAGCCACCATTGAGCAAACCTCCACCTTTTCTTCCACAGCATCACTTTTGCCTGTCTCTGACATGTCCAAACTGTTTTGCATGGCAATGCCTCTTTCTACAGCTTCAACAAAACCAGTTTCATTGTTACTTTTCAAAATCTCCTTTTCACTGATGATTTCACATTCTCCTGATGCTCCCTCAAAAGCTCCTGCTTCTTGAGAAAAACAGTCAAATTTCTTCTTGATTGAACCAACAGACACAGCTGCAGCATTAAGGAAAATTTTCAGAATAAATATAAGTTAGAGCCTTCTTAAATGAAGACAACAAGGTCGAAAGTTAAAGATAATGTATGCTGCCAATTACTTTGTTGGCAAAATTCTTGTTCAAGAGCTTCATCAAGCTTTTTGTGAATAGTAGATCCCGGAGTTTCATTTCCACATATGCTCAAACCTTCTGCATCCTTAGTACATCCTGTTTCTTGAGCCATAGTCACCACTTCTGGACCTAAGGAATTGGCTGAAAAAAAAGGTCAATGATCAGTCATATATAATACAGCATTAAGTTCACAATGAAATATCACGGCAAACAAAAAAACTCATTCCACAGGTACTTCAAATATACTATAGTGACCCAATCTTCTCACATGTTTGAGCAGTAAACTTGTCAACATTGAGTTTGAGGTTGGTTTTCTCTTGTGTTGCAAAATGGCTGGAATTTTGGGCAAGCAAAACTTCAGGTGTTTGAATTTTAATTGGCTTCGCCGGGCTACTGAAATAATTACTTTTCAAATCAGCACTTGATTCATTGTCTCTTACGTGGAGCGCACTCACAAGATCAGCCCTCTCTTTAACCGGACTATTCTCAGATATTTCATTGCTGATACTTTTCAAGTCACCACTAAATGTTGCAATTTCATTATTTGACGTCTCTGCAGGCTCGCCATTGGCCCCATGAAGATTAACATCACCATCTGTGTTTTCAGCATCCTTAGCAACCATAAGCTCTAAATCTTTGGCTGGGTCAGATACAGAATTTTCTACTGCACCTTTGTGCTCCCCAAGGAGAGTAACATCAACATCATCTTTGTCTTCGGCATCCCCAACAGCAATAAGCTCTAAATCCTTGGTTGGGTCAGATACCGGTTCTTCTACTTCACCCAAAGCAAGCAAATCTTCTGTATTCCAAGCAGCACAACCAGACTCCTGGTCCTTGCTGTATGTATACTTGGTAAAAGTGTCTGAATCATGCCCAGAGAACAAGTGTTGTAGCTTAGGCTCACTAGAGAAGCTTGCTCCTTCTTTTTTTTTAGCAGACGAGTACTTGTCATATTCATCAACATCCACGTTCCTATCATTGGTAAAGCATGTTAAATCCCTGCTTGGTGTCTCTTCTGCCTTTGAACCTGAAGGACCAGCAAGATCGCCTGCGCAAAATGAAGACAGGCACTAGTAAGAAACTAAAGATTATTCAACATACAAAATTGAACAAATGGAAAAAGTAGATACATAAATCAAGATTTCGAGAATTCTCACTTAATGGAAAAAAATAATTATCACGTAGCTTTTCCAATCGGAATAGAATTTCCTTCTGTGGGGTACTATTCAAAACAGCAATTTTATCATCATGTTTCAAGTGAAATTCATGCTCGTCAACAACGGCAATAGTATCAACTTCTGGGTTGTGCTCACACTGCTCAGACACCTCAGTGCAGACACTTCCAACATCAAAGCATGATATAACATTTCTGGTACATGATGTCTCGGACATTTCTCTTTCTCTATCCTCTACACTCAAAGGATTTACACTGCTATTCTTGATTTCCTCGTCACCAGTGTCTCTGCCTTCAGCAGCATCCACAGAACTTTGTTTTAAGCACTTGGTTTTGTCAGATATTGGTATGCATTTAGATGCATTATTACTGATGCTGCCAAAAGCATCTGAGCATAAGTTTCCTTCATGTGCTACCTGAAACCACTTCCTCTCATGGATAGAAACAGGAGTTTCTTCTCCATCATACGAAACAATAGTAACCTGTTTTGTAGCACTAACAGCCTTCTCAGACTTCAGTTCCTTGCTATCATTGGGGTTGGTCATGTAGTCATCCATAACAGCTTCTAACCCACTATTCATCTCATCTACCTGTTCAACCATTACAGCCTTGTCTTCTTTAGCTAAGTTGTTCGCCTGGATGCTGTTTTCTAAACATCCAATAATGCTTCTTGATGTCTCGTTGCAGCTCTCTTCTCCCTTTTTTATTGAACTAGAAAAATCTCCGACACCACCTGTAAAGCATGAAAACAGCTACCTTCAGCACATATGATTTAACATGTAAAAAGTGATATTTAACTAAGAATCGGCATACCATCAACTTGTGATAGCAGGTACAATGAAGAAATGTTCATAGTTGGAGATGAATTTGTCCTAGCCTCACTGTCATCCTTTTTTAATGACTGATTCAGGTGAGAATTTTCAGCATCACTGCTACTGCAATCGATCCCCCGGTTCCACAATGGTGTAACTGTTTTAGCAGCTTTGCCTTCTTCCATAGTTTTGTTAAACGCTGCAGCTGAAGCAATTGAAGAAAGTGTCAGCCCTTCCACAACATTGGGAGACTGGGCATTGGCTTCCAAGTCGGCTTCTGGACCCAATACTTCCTTTTCTTCTGATATAAGATGGCTAGATTGCTGCAGGTCAAAACAAATTTCAGGCATTGTCAATTCAACCTTAGTGGAAATGGTGTCACAAGAGCTCCACAAACTAGCAGCTTCCTCTTGCTCTGTTGGTTGAACATCTGATTCCTTCAGAACCACAGTGGCACAGTCAACCACTTCATCTACTGCATTTTCATTCTGAGATGGGGACTCTTCAAGCTCGGGTTCCTGTTCCTTCACAATCACTGCAGCATTGTCTACCACTTCATCTTCTACTGCAATTTCATTCTCAGATGGGGACTCTTCACACTCGTTTTCCTGTTCCTTCAGAATCACTACAGCATGATCAACCACTTCATCTTCTACTTCATAGTCATTCTCAGTCGCGGACTCACTGTGTCCACACTCATTTTCTTGTTCCTTCGTAATCAGTGCTACACAGTCAACCATTACATCTTCTTCTGCATTTTCAATCTCAGATGGTGACTCTTCACACTTGTTTCCCTGTTCAATGAAATGCTCATTTCTATTCTGATTAACACATTTAAGTCCATCACTACTTTCTAAAATTTTATTGTCCCTTCCAGCTTCTAATTCACCAAAGGGACTTGAGAGTTGCTTCCCATCAGTATCACTGCCTCCACTACCTCCTGGCAAACTAGGCTCCACGGCACTGTGACAATCAGGTTCACCTACACCAGCACACCATGTAAAAATTAACAACATGAAACCATATCTTAAGACAGTGGGAGCATATGAATGTTCAATGTATAAAGTCTTGATTTTAAACAAGTCAAATGAAAGCATTAAGTGTGCCAAGCTTACCACTAAGCTGCCTTCTAAGATTGCTAGGTGTTATAGATGCAATTTCTTCATAAGAGATCTTGTCAAGTACAGAAATCATATTTAAAGAATTTTCCTCCACTTTGTCAGCTTGCATAGCACTTTTAATTCCACCTCCGCCGCTATCTTGCAAAATTGAATTTTCATTGTTTGCAGGAGTCTGATCTGCTGCTACTGCATTTTCAAGGGCTTTGTCTATGATGTTGGTCTCTTCTGGGCAGTCATCTAAGTTTGAACTTTCACCTCCATCTTCGCTACTGTTTTGCAACATTGGACTTTCATCATTTGCAGGAGTCTGATCAGCTGCTACTGCATTTTCAAGGGCCTTATCTATGATGTATGTTTCTTGTGGGAAGTCCTCTATCTTTAAGCTTTCAACTCCACCTTCACCACAGTTTTGCAACATTGAACTTTCATCGTTTGCAGGAATCTGATCAGCTGCTACTGCATTTTCAAGGGCCTTGTCTATGATGTATGTTTCTTCTAACTTTGGACTTTCAACTCCACCTTTGCCACTGTTTTGCAACATTGAACTTTCGTTGTTTGCTACTACATCTTCATGGACCTTGTCTATGATATCTGCGTGTTCTGGGCAGTCCTTTAACTGCATTAAATTATTTTTTACATACAGCTTTTCCAATCTATTGGGAGAAAATCCAGTAGTTTCCTCGGAATTTTCCACTTTCTTCTCTGCAGAAGCGGTGTTTCCAGTTGCATGACGTAGCTCTAGAACAGCACATACGATTGTAAGAAACAAACAAGAAAAATATTGACAAGCAATACACTGTTCAGATTATCACAATATTACAAGCATAATTTTCACTTTTTCATTTGTTATAGTTCACATCCTGAAATATGCAATATTTATACATATATAAACATCCATTTACATTCAATTACGCTAATAGATAGAAATGTCCATTTACATTCAATTACGCTAATATATAAACATCCATTTACATCCGTTTAATGGAGTTAACTGAATAACCGATAAGAATAATAGATGATAAATTGATGGGCAAGTCTAAAACTATATCAAATGCTTTACTGTGATCAAGTCTCTAAACAAAATTCTAAACATGCTGCTGTTGAAGTTATCATAGTTTTATATTGCTTGAACAAAGATGAAAGAATTCATATGCAAAATAAAAGTAAGCATGATGTTCAATGTGCCAAAGATTTTTTATAGCATCATAAATTACAATCTCATTGACATTAATTAAAAGATGATGAAAGCCAGAATTACCATCTATTTTGTGCTTCCTATTTTCTGAAAGGCTTTGTACAGGAGCTAAATTCCCTGGTAGAGTCTCCTCGTGTTGGACATATTTAGTCCCATCAGTAGCAGGCGCGCTGCAGCCTGTCGCTTCAGATTCATTTGTATACTGAGCTTCCATTTCATTCACCTTTTCATCTTCTACCATTAGGCAACTAGCTGAAGCATCAACCATGGACATTCCCGCTTGACTACTTGATCTCCTCACTACTTTTATTTCTTTAGAACCAACATCCTTATCAACATTATCATTCTTTCTTCCCAAACCTTTCCGCTTCAAACCTCTAATTTCTGAATTCTTAACATTCTCAACATTTTCATTGATTGTATCCTCAACTACACCCTTTGGCTTTAAAGTTGCAGCTGGCGTCCTTACCCTCTTGCCTTTCTTGACATCTGCCACCATCTCAGGAGACTTTTGTTGCACATTCTCCGCAACAGCTTGATCCAATACTTCAGCATTCTTCTGCTCATTAAAAGCTGTTTTCCGACCTTTAGTCTCAACCTTCTGCACTTGTCTCACTGACCTTCTTGTCTGACCTCTCTCAACCAAATTGTTCCCATCATCAACTACTGCAGCAGGCTTCACTGCAACAGACTTTCTCCTTGAAATCCTTTCAACAGGTTTCCCAACATTATCATCAACAGTTCTAGTGTCTAAAACCACATCAGGTTTCACCATAACAGACTTTATCCTTGAAACCCTTCCAACCGGTTTCTCCACATTATCAGCAACAGTTCCAGTGTCTAAAACCACATCAGGTTTCACCACAACAGACTTTCTCCTCGAAACCCTTGCAACAGGTTTCCCAACATTATCATCAACAGTTTCAGTGTCTAAAACCACATCAGGTTTCACCACAACAGACTTTCTCCTCGAAACCCTTGCAACAGGTTTCCCAACATTATCATCAACACTTTCAGTGTCTAAAAGCACATCAGGTTTCACCACAACAGACTTTCTCCTCGAAATCCTTCCAACCGGTTTCTCCAGATTATCATCAACAACTCCGGCGTCTAACACCGAGTCAGGCTTCAACACAACAGACCTCCTCCTCAAAACCCTTCCAACAGGTTTCTCCACAACTTCAGGTTCTAAATCTGCATCAGACTTACCCACAACAGACCTTCTCCTCAAATTCCTTCCAACAGGTTTCTCCACATCATCAACATTTCCCAATTCGATTTCGGGTTTTTGAAAAACCCTCCTCTTCCTAGCCAATAACCTCAATTCTCTAGGATCAGTTTTCTCAAAAACAAATGTTTCATTCTGAGGACTAAATTTTACCCTCTTTGGTTCTTTACTATCAGCCAATTCCTCATCACCTTCGTCAATAACACTCAAATTCTTTAAGCAAGACCTCCCCCCTTTTGTGGGTTTTTCCTCCTGTACTCAAAAACCCCACCAAAATCATTCAAATTTCAGTTCAATATACAAAATTACAACCCCCAAAAAAAAACCAAAAAATTCACATGAATATTTGAAAAAAAAATATCATAAAAATAATCAAAATTCAGTAAATTTTACAGGTTACACAGAAAAAACAAGAAATTAAATTTCAAAAAAGTGATGAAATTTACCTTAAGAAGTGCAGATAGACGGTCAGCCATTTCAACATTCTTCAAATTTGCTGGAATTCCATGTTTCTTGCACAATGATTGAAGTTCTTTCCTCTTCAACCCATGAAAATCCATATCTTTTTCCATAAATTTGACTAAAAAAACGAAATTCTTGAAAGTTAAAGAAGAAATTTGAAGTGGGTATTAACGATCATTTTAAATTTGAGGAAGAAAAACTGCGAATTCTGGTTTTAAATTTGTAAAAGGTTGAATCTTGAATTTGAAGGGTTTTTATAAAAAAAAAAAAAAAGAAAAGAAGTAAAAAGGAGATGAATTTGAAATTTTTTGAACAGAGGAATGAGTTATATTCTCCCGCTATTTTTTTTTTTTTTTTTCAAAATATTTGATGTAGAAGATAATCTAACGGTTGAGATACTCTGGATTGAAGGTGGAGGTTGTCAGATTTTACCACGTGGAGGATTTATAACAGCTTTCGTCATTTTCCTGGGTTTTCATTGGTCTTCACATATCACGAGTAAATTTTTGTTCTTTTACGAGAGCGGAGAGCGGAAGGCCCTGAGGGCGGAGGAGAAGATCACTTCTCTTCCTCTCGTATTCCTCAGGTTCGATTCAAAATAAATGTACTACCTCCGGTTTTTTTTATGTGCAACTTTGAGGAATATTAGTGAGACATAAAATATTCCAAAGTTGCACATAAAAAAAAACTAGAGGTAGTAATTGTTTTCAGATTTTCGGATTAATTATCGGTTACCCAATATGATTCGAGTATCTAATAATGATAATTAAACGTATTAATATACGAAGTAATTATTAACTTATTATGATATCATTCAAAACTAATTAACAACAATATCACGTGATCTTGACAAAATTCTTAATAATATTACAATTCATTCTTATCATTAAAGTGATTATGAGGTAAAATGCTTATCGAATCGGATCAGGTAAATTAACTTAAAATTGATACCCAATTCATAACCATACCCGATAACCTTCCCAAACCATTATAGTTATCGGATCGGATACCCTAATTTACGGATCAATTACGGATTGGGTTTTTGGTTTTTCGAATAGTTTTGCTCAGTTCTGATTACAGGTGTATTACTGTAATGTACAATTTTGACCATTAATTTTACGAGTACTAATTGTTCCTTTCGTTCTTAAAAATGGGGTTACATTTGTTATTTTAGGTGTTCTCTTTTTTTAATGTTTACGCTTCAATTTTTCCTAAATGTAAGTAATTACGGTCTTTTTAACACATTTCTCTCATAAATCCAATGCTTATTCCTATTTATCAAAATATTTGCATAAATCTAATGCACTTATTCCTATTTTCAAATATATTTACCTATTTCCAATGCAAATGGTCCTATTTTCAAAGTTAATTTAATGTCTTAATACTTCGTACCTAGTATATGTGATATTTAATCATTATTTTCCATTATCTTATTTTCCTTATATTCTTATTCTAAACGTTTCTACCTAGGATTTCCCGAAAATCTTACGCATTTTGTCTCTATCCAAAGGGGAAAAAAAACAAAAAAAAAACATGATTTTAACATTGGTGATAATTGTAACACACAACACCCCTAAATCTCCCTCTATGGAGATACCAGTATAATACATATAATTTATTTATTTTTGGTAAATAATACATATATTTATACCGTAGAGATAGACTTAGGCATATTACCGCCGCGTGATTACGCAAGGCTACTCCAACTACTAATTAAAACCAAAACTTTGCAACAAAAACTCAAACTATTTCTTTATTAATACTTAATAAAATATAGTAACCATTGTTATGAGTACTCAAAATAGAAATAAAACCAACATTCCTAAAACTAAGTGAAGCATATCCCATGACTCCCAAATGCTCATTTATTGACTCCACCTGAAAACAGTCAATACTGCTTTACCATTAAGGTAAATAGGGCGAACCAAAACAAATACAAAATACGAATTAGCAAAATATGCTAAGTACGATAAGTGCAAGATAATGTAAACTCAATTTAGCAAACATATATTTAAAACCAATCCCATAATTAATCCAATAGTTCCAACTCATAATTCAAAATCAATTCAAATTACTCAATAATTCAATAATAATGAGTATTAAAATCAATTACTCTCCTAAGCGCGCACACCCCCCAAGTTAGTATCTTTAATTAGAAAGGTTATCCTTGAGGAAAGACTAGGTCATACAAAGTCCATAGTCTTATCAACCAAATCCGCATAGTGAGATTAATATAATTATGCTTGTAAAGCTTTAATAATAATTTAATCATTCTCTTTAAATCAATAATTCAATCTTTTATAATAATTCAACTCAAAACTTCTTTTTTATTTAATTCAACATACTTTCAAAATCAAACCTTTTAAACATGATAAATAAATTCAAACCATTCAACATGATATTAAAAATCCATTCTCAAAAATATTATTAAAACATGAATTCTCAAGGTTATTTTATAATTCAAATCAATTTAATCCAATCATCATTAAATTGTTAGGTTTTCAGCAATTCAACACAATAAGAATTACTTAAAGATGGTGGAACAAAACCTAAACAGTGTATAATTTCAATCTAATTATACAACAACCAATACTAATTAAAGTATTACAAACCAAACACCGAAATATCAATGTAATCAGATTTTACAAGGAAAAACACTAATATGAAAGATACTAAACTTGCCTCTACTCCAAGCCAATGAAATCAACAAGAACATGAGAATACCAAGGACCACGTGAGTCTTCAATACCGGATACTTGTCTAAGGCGTGTAAACACTTTCCTAAAGTGATTATTTCCCCCACCACGGTGCTTGGGTTGAAACCGGAAAATCACTTTGAGATACAATAGACAAACACTACAATCTTTGCACTAAGAATTATAGTATGATGATCAAATTCTCAAAATAAACTTAATTGATAGTGTATTTCAAGAAGAGATTGCAAGTTTCTTAGTGAAATTGTGAAGAAGAGTGAAAAACTTAGAGAGGAAAACAAAGAGAGCAAAAAATCTTATCAATTATTCTTTTAATTTCGCAATTAAAAACAATCGAAACCGCAACTGCCAGGGCCGCGGGCGCGGCATCTAGTAGGAGCGGGCGCTCCTCATGACCCCGCGGGCGCGGCAATTAAGCCCGCGGGCGCGGACAGGAAAATCGCAGATTTCACCCAACTTTCTGGAGATGTCTGGCCACGCCCATGCAGCGGGCACGACCACCATGCCGCGGGCGCGGCTTTCCGTGGCTTCCCAGTCGTGGTCTCTCCATTCCAAAGGAGAGGGCTCTCTTTTATCACACTCTAAATTCCTAACAATCCTCCCCCATTTAGAGTGTGTAATTTAAAACTTTCTTCACTTCTAACAATTAAGCCACATCTCATGCATCAATGCCAATGTCCCTTCGGATTGAATTGAAACCTAGTACAACACACTTAACGATGATCATATCCCGTGATTTCCATATGGATTGAATCACACGAATATATCCAACCATTCGAAGGTGAAGTACACACAAGACAAATCGAATTTATCATCACTTAACACTTTTAAACAGCCATGTGTCCGTATTTTTCATAAGTTCATCAAAGTCTATATGTCCATCTAGACTTCTTGAAGCGGCTAAACTTCAAACTTATATAGGTAGGTTCTCATATACGTAATAGTGCCCTTGTGACAAGACACCGTCATCTAGAGCTTCTCAACTCTAGATCTTTGAGAACTATAAATTGACGCTACCTCTCACATCACAAGTAACATAGCAACATGGGTCACAGAACATTGCTAACAAACATCAAAAATGCAATTTAACCACATTGAATCTAAGACTTGATGTTTCTTCAAGTGTTAGATTGGGTTTCACAAATTTGTGTTTTTGGACATGAACCCATTCCATTCAAAGCAAATATGATGGAATGCCTTGGCATTGCTTTAGTAAAGCAATCCGCCAAATTCAACTTTGTAGGAACATAGTCAAGACTTATGACCCCATCTTGATAAGATCTTTCACTAGGCTTGCCTAAGTGAAATATGCCGAGACTTACCATTATACACTTGACTATATGCCTTTATTAAAGCCGAATTCGAATCACAATGGATTGCCACCGGTGACATTGGCTTAGGCAATAAAGGCAATTCTAACATGAGATTTCTCAACCACTCAGCTTCCTTAATAGCTAAGGCAAGAGCAATAAACTCCGCTGCCATAGTGAAATCGGCAATGCAAGTTTGTTTCTTGGAAGACCATGAAATGGCACCTCCCCCAAACATGAATACCCAACCACTTACAGAAGAGTCATCCTCTTTGTAAGTGATCCATCTTGCATCAGAATATCCTTCTAAAACCGAAGGAAATCCACTATAAGACAAACCATAATCAAACGTACCCTTAAGGTACCTCAAGACCCTCCGAACTACAAACCAATGTTGTGCACCCGGGTGACTAGTAAATCTAATAAGTTTTCCCAAAGCCAATGCAATATCTGGTCTTATGCTTGTCATGACATACATCAAGAATCCAATTATCCTTGAATATTCCAATTGGGAAATTGTTTTCCCGAATTCTTAACTAATTTAACATTAGGTTCCATGGGGGTGTTTACAGGACTCTTATCAAACATATTAAACCGTTTGATCATCTTCTCAATGTAATGAGATTAACTTAGAATAAGTCTTCCATTGTCCCTAATGATCTTGATGCCCAAGATGACATCCGCCTCCCCCAAATCCTTCATCTGAAAAGATGAGTTTAAGACTTCCTTGGTCAATTCTACTTGTTGTAGACTTGTACCAAAGATAAGCATATCATCAACATATAGACAAATGATGACACCATGACCTTTGTCATCAAATTTTCTATATATACACTTATCAGCTTGATTCACTTTGAATCCAAAGGACAAAATCGTGTCATCAAATTTCCGATGCCACTGCTTTGGTGCTTGTTTAAGTCCATACAACGACTTAACCTGTCCTTCCAAAACAAACCCTTCGGGTTGTTTCATGTACACTTCTTCCTCTAGATCTCCATAAAGGAATGCCGTTTTGACATCCATTTGATGAATCACTAGATTATATACTGAACCCATTGCAATCAATAACCTTATGGAGGTAATTCTTGCAACCGGTGCATAGGTATCAAAATAATCAACACCATGCTTTTGCCTAAAGCCTTGGGTAACCAATCTGGCTTTAAATTTCACTATGGAGCCATCCGACCTCCTTTTTCTAGTGAAAATCCACTTGCAACCAAGAGGTTTGCAACCGGGAGGTAAATCCTCTATGACCCAAGTATTATTTCCCATGATGGAATCCATCTCATCATTTATAGCTTCCTTCAAAAATGCACTATCTTGGGAAGATATGACCTCGCAATAAGTTTTTGGGTCACTATCCACATTGAAACAATATGGAGTAGTGGAACTAAGGACATCCCTAAACCCTTCAACTAAATATATTATGAAGTCATCTAGAGGATTCCTAATTTTCCTTTGTCTCTTACTTCTTCTAACATGAGGAGTCTCATCCTCATTATTAGGAGAACATTCATGAGATTCAAGTTGATCATCAAAATATGCTTATTTAATTCAATCAATTTCAAAGGTATCTAGCCACCTAAACATACCTTCATCCTCACTTAGCAAATACAAAAAGAACCTCAAGTAATCT